TCATGCAATCTCCAGTGTTATTTCTGTCACCAAGGCCATATTTTCCAACTACTGGTGATTCTTCTTTATTTCCAAATTTTATATTCCAGTCACCAGTGATAATCACCACATCTTGATTGTATGTTTGGTGATTTCAGACTGCAGAAATTGGTAAAAATCTTCAGTTTCCTCATCTTTTGGCTCTGGTGGTTGGTGCATAAATTTGAGTAACAGTAATAGTAACTGGTCTTCCTTAGAGGTGTATGGATATTATCCTATCACTGACAGCACTGTACTTCAGGATAGATCTTGAAACATTCTTTGTGATGATGAATGCCACACCATTCCTCGTCAGTTTGTCATTCTTGGCATAGTAGACCATGGTTGTCAGATTCAAAATGGCCAAAAACAGTCCATTCCAGCTCACTAATGCCTAGGATATCCATCTTTAGGTGATCCATTTCATTTTGACAGCTTCCAATTTTCCTAGATTCATACTTCATACATTCCACGTTCTGATTATTGATAGAGGCTTGCAGCTGTTTCTTCCCATTTTGAGTTGTGCCACAAATGGCGGTCCTGAAAGCTGTATTCTGTTATTCTGAGTGCCTTCCAACCTGAGGGGCTTGTCACCTAGCACTATATCAGATAGTGTTTCCCTGCTATTCATAGGGTTTCCACTGGCCAATTCTTTGAGTAGTGGATGGCCCCTTCCTTCTTCCTAGTCTTCTTAGGCTGGAAGCTCAGCTGAAACCCGTCCACGTGGGTGACCCTGCTGGTGTTTGGAATACCGGTGGCATGGCCTCCAGTCTCGCAGCATCACACAAGCCATCACCATACAACAAACTGACTGACAAGTGGTGGACTTGGAGCCTAGTGAGAAGAAAGCCTCATGACGTGGTCACTTCCTTTCCTGTCTCCCTAGATCTCATATTAGGAATTTGAGTGGGTCATCCCTTTTAAGGCACCTAGTACAAGGAGCAAAAGAGGAGGAAGCAGCAATTGGTGCCTGGCATTTCTGAGGCAAGTTAGGAAGTTAAAGGATGACTGCAGTCCGCCTCCCACAGCAACTTTTTTTTTTTTTAAACTCTTATTGTGATTTGGGTGACAGTTTACGGAGCAAATTGGTTTTCCATTCAGCAGTTCACACACATTTTGTTTCGTGACACTGCTTGCAGCCCCCACGGTGTTAACGGCTCTCTTCGCACTCCTCCCTGTGGCACTGCTTGCGGCCCCCACGGTGTAACAGCTCTCTTCCCACTCCTCCCTGTGGTTGCCGTTTCCCTCCATCCTGCTTTCCTTTCTCCTCCTTCTGAGCTTGATCCCTGAGCAGCGGCTGCCCCTTGGATCTCATATGCTTGATGGTTCTAAGGCGTGCTTGCCTCGGTGGTGTTATTGTTCACCCTGCAGGCCTGTCCATTGCTTGGCTGAAAGTTGAGCTAAAGAGCTGAGTTCAGTTCCAGGCCTGAAGGGTACTAAGGGCCACAGTCTCAGGGCTTCCACCAGTCTCTGTCAGACCAGTAAGCCTTGTCTTTTTTTATTTTGAATTTTGTTTCACATTTTCCTCCCACTCTCTCAAGGACCTACCTATTCTGATCCCTTTCGGAGCAGTCAGCAGTGGTAGCCGGGCACCATCTAGTTCTGCTCTCAGGGTCATGGAGGCTGAGGTTTGCGCCTCCAAAGGGAGTTGCTGCTTTTTTGTTTATGCTTTTGTGAGAGAGCAGTAGAAGACTGAATGCCTTATGTGTTTGTAAACAGAGGCAAAGCACCACTGCTATCAACCACTCACTATAGTAAGATTTCTCTCATATTGCTTTGTGTGGTTCTGGTTGGGGGAAAAAAATGAGCTTACATTTTGTTACTGGGAGTTTAAAGGATAAATCCACTTGCATCCTAGACATTGTAATTTGGAAATACAGTGAATAGCTGAAACCAGTTCTCTTAATGTTGTTGAGTATTTAGCCGATTCACGAGTAATTTTATTATGTGTAAATGGGATCCAGGGCTGCTGCTGCCTCGGGGCTGCTTGATTGGGTTCTTATGCCCATTTGCTGAAATGGTGATTCTGCAACTGTTTCTAAATTGAACAATAACAAAAAAAAGTTAGGGGAATTAGTTTGGAACATCTAGGAAATTGATTCCAGGTGCATTTCTTAAAACTCACTAAAGGCTAAAATTAGTAACTGAACAGAGCAACAACCTGAGACAATATTCTTCCCTGGCTGTTCTTTTTCTTTCCACAGAAAGTTTTTGTCATGCCAAACATGGACGATGTTTATATGCCCATCATGCACTCAGCCATGGACCCCCGCTCCACCGCCTGCCTCCTGAAAGACCCCGTTGTGGAGGCTGCTGAGCAGCAGTGATGGGCGAGGGGGACGTGCCCAGTATTATGAGATCGAGGCTTCCAGTGTGAGGTTCTCGCTGCCAGCTGTGCCGTGGCACTGGCCTTCACGTGGGCCACAGCTCCTGTTTCTCAAAGGACTGCTCCTGCCCTCTGCCTGCCAGTGCCCATTCCACTGAGGCGTCATTCCACGCATCCAGTGACAGGTGTCTGGATCGCCTGCTGCAAAGCTTTGACTCTAGGCAAAGGAGGCTGTGGAAGTCTGGTCACAGGTTACAGAAGTTACAGGCGAAGGCGACTCACCATGACTTTGAAGTCTACCAGTTTTGGGGGCAGCCAAAGAGCACATTAAGAGCAGAGCTGTGGAACCGGGAGGCTACCCTTGCCTTCCCAACTCCTCCAAAGCTTTTCCTTAGGCAGCCAGTGCACACAGAACATGTTTTTCACTTCTCCAGTTTATATGAGCTACTGCAGCCTCTACACTCCCAGGCAATGTCAGTGCAGTGATGTGTGCGGAGGGTGGGGAGTGGAATCTTAGGAGCCATTTCATTGATGATAAAGAGACATGCATAGCAACTTACAGTTTTTCCTGTTTGTGCATTTTGGAAGCAAGTAGCCATAGAACACAAACACTAACACACTACCAGCCGGAGTGGGGACGGTGGGATTGATGTGAACATTAGGCAAAGCCATGAGATCAGACCATCTCAGGCCTTTTACCAGTGAGGTAGTCACCTGGCAGTTAATGCTGAATGTTCTCCTGAGACATGCGCATACATGAAAATGTCTCACACTGCACACAGTGACAGATCGTCCCTCATAAGGGTGGGCTGGGGTGAGAATCAGGCTTTCCACCTGGCATGAACTGTCTGCTCCTGAAGTTTTCTATAGGAACCCAGAGGCTTTCTCTCTTTACTTGGTTTGGGAGTTTTGTGGGCAGTTTTCTTTTCTGATGGCCAAAATGGAAAACTGCTCTGTAGTTCTGACTCAAGACCAGGTTTGCTCAACATCCAAACACTATGTATCTCGAAACTTAATGTGACCTTTCCTTAATGTTGCCAAGTTTATTTTGTGCATTTGTGTCAGAATGTTTAGTTTACAAGTTGGGGGCTCCCTCTAATTGTGTAATTTGCTTTGAGAAGTAAACAGTTTTTTTATTGTTATTGTTTAAAACTGCATCGGACATCAAAATTATCTTGAGTGACTTTTGGTAACTTACATCTGTGGACAAAGCTAATAGTGGTTTTTAAACAGCACCTCGCCTGAACATGAGTTTAAAGAAATTAATATATTGACAAAATATATTTGAAACTTTATGGATTCTTTTAGTTGCACCATTAAAACGTTTGACTTAAATTATTTGACCATTCCAGTCTGTGTACTGTTCTAATTTCTCACTGTGTAGCCTGACTTAATCTGTCAAGAGTCTGCATGTCTTATTCACTGGTCTTTATAATTTTTGTGCAATAACTAAAGGCAAAGGACTAGATGCACTACTGTGTAAACAGATTACATGACTGTACCCGATTGCACTTAATCAAATGGTATGTGGGGATTTACAATCGCTTGCATCATTTCACAAAATAAATATCTCATGTCAACTACTAGATAAGCATCTAAGTTATTTCTACTGAGTTCTGTTTTGATAATAGTGACAGGACAGGGCACTTGGGACCTCAGCTGCCAACGTTGTTAGTGCCACAGTTAGCCCCCAACTTGTGGGGACTGCATGCAAAACAGAATTCAACACTAGCTGGTCTTGCACTATCCCCATCAGTTGGGTCCTGGGCCACTGTGACCCATTGGGTTTTCACTGGCTGAGTTTCAAGATCACCGAGACTTTCTTCCCCGTTTTAAAACTCTCCTGAAACCTGTTCAGCACAAGACACCAGCCACCACTCAGGCAAGTGGCGGCTGTGCCTGATGTGCACTGACGGAATCGAACCCGTCTCCCCCATGCAAGGCAAGGATCCTACCACTCACCTACCACAGTCTCGTTATATGCCAGTACAAGCTTTCCTTTTACTACCCCATTGCTGTGGACCAGCCACTAAGGCAGTCTTCACCATACCCTTTTATGGTGGCAATTAGGTGCCAGTCAATCTCACAGTGACCCCACATGACTAAGTGTAACTACCCCACAGTTTCCTAGGCTGTCATCTTTACGGGAGCAGATTCCCAAATCTTTTTCCTAAGGAGTAGCTGGGTGGGTTCTCATCACCAACCTTCTGGTTTGCAGCCAAGTGCCTGTGTTGCACCATCAGGACTTTAATATACGGTAGGTGCTGTATCTCACATTCTTGGGACCTGTTAGGAGGGAACAGCCCTCTGGAAGACACCATGCTTGGTAGAGGATCAACAGAAGATCCTCGAGATGGACTGACAGTGACTGCAACAATGGGCTCTAATATAGCAACGAATGGCAAGGCTTGAGCAGTGTTTTCATGTTGTACTTTGGGTTGCTGAGTTGCCACTTGAGCCACCTAATAGGTGTTATCTTCAGTCCATATTTAATTGAGGCTCTCAAGTCTGTAACTGGGCCATGTTGTTGTTAGGTGCCGAGGAGTAGTCTGACTCATAGCTCCAGCTCACACCTTGAAGTGCCTAGCTCGTACCCAATTCATGTAAGCACGCTGTGACTGAGCAGGCCATAAGCTTCAGACACTTGATTGGCATAGTATTCAAAATAAGCAGTTTGTCGTGCACGGTAGGTTTTTGTAAATAGGTCGTGGCTACACCTCAGTCGGATGAGTTAAGCACATCACAGCGCTGAAGACTGAAGCCAGTTCCCGCCAAATTCGCCACGGCCTTAAACTGCTCAAGGCCAAAGCCTGGGGCTCAACGCCCACGCGCAGAAGCCATCCCATGTGGCGTCAAACTCCAAGTGCATGTCTTCTCCACTGAAGGATGAAGACGGGACTGACGATGAGGTTATCATGCAACTCGGGGAGGGAAGAGTAATGTCAAAGAGGCACACACGGAACCATCAGCAGATCCTACCACCCCCACCCTGTCCCCAGATTATCTCAGCTCCGACTTTAAGAGTTTGCGGCCCCTTGACCAAATTCACACCCCCGGTAGCCGGCTTGGAGCACCGCCGTGTAGCTCACGGTTAAAAGGGCCGCCAGCAGGTTGTTAGCGGCCCCAGTTATGCGTGAGCCCTTGCTCTGGCGCTGCAGCTTAACCCCCGGCGCCACCGACAGGCGCGGCGAGGGCTCAAAGGCAGCGCGTCGCCGACAAGAAAGACCGACACCAGCGCTGAGGTCAAACCATTTTATTGAGTTTCTGGGGGCCCGAGGCGGTGCGGACAATGAGGTCCGACGCTTGCGGTCCGGCCGAGATCTGCAAGAAAAAGAGCAGTGCGTGAACCGATGTGCGCCCGCCGGGCGGCTTGTTCCGTCCCCTCACCGCCAGCGGCCAGGCTCAGACTCCAGTTCGCATCACCCGCGTCAGCAGTCTAACACGTGCTTTAATTAGGCTGTCATCACCGCGGGCCACCAGACTCCCAACCCGCTCTTAGGCCGACCCGCTACAATACGACTACCCACCTTTTGGAACTTACAGCCACCAAAAGACCAAAAGGCCTTTATGGCGCCTACTTAAAGGCGCTGACTGGAGGTGGTTGGACAGGCTTTAACACTATTAACCAATAGAAAGCCAAGTTCTGATCACGTGTATCAAAACTGGCCTATGATTGGCCTACTGGCTGAGTCCTCCAGGGTATAGAGTGGTCCCATAAAACCATAGAGATAGGCTCCTAGAAAAGACCGAGAAAGGGTTTGAGAGTCGCGCAACCTCTTGGTACATCTGGGTCGTCAATTTGTAATTATTAGCTCACCTCTCTACGGCATATAAAAGGAAACTTTACAGTATACAATTTAATTCCTACACTGTATGACTTATTCAGTGCGAGAAGACAGACTTTGAGCCGCGTATGTAAAGTTGAACAAAACCGCCTCTGCCCCTGAGTTCACAGGAACCTGGTGTGGTAGAGCTTGTGCTTTGAAAAAAGACATACCTGCTGCCACGTTCTGGCTTTGTAATGAGCTCGCCTTGGGTCCTTAACCTTTTATGAGACAGTTTCTGAAAAATGAGGCCATGCAGTGAAATTGTGGTAAGGATTAAGTATCAATCGCCTAGCACATTCTCAGTGGTAAACGTTTGTTTTAAAAGGACTGGAATGATTGGGAAACGTCTGTGATTGCAATACTTTAGTAAATGCTAAGAGACCTATGAAAAGCCTGTTTGGGAAACCCAAAGTAAAGAGGGCCTAACTTTGGGTAAGCTAAAAATGTTTCCCAGAGTTGAGCCCATACTATGAGCCAAGCACTGTATGAATGAAAACATGGCTCTGCCCCCAAGAGCTTGCTTTACCCTGTGCGTACTGTTAGGTGCCCTCAAGTTGATTTCAACTCATAGTGACCCCATGGGACAGACTAGAAACACACCATAGGGTTTTCTTGGCTGTAAGCTTTATGGCAGCAGATCAGCCAGTCTTTCTCCCATGGAGCCACTGGGTGGGTTTGAACTAACCTGTTGGTTAGAAGCCACGAGCCAGCATGGAGTTGTTAGGTGTCGTTGAGTTGATTTTGACTCATAACAACCCCATGTGACAGCACTGTCCTGTAGGGTTTTCCAAGCTCTAAGCTTCATGGGAGCCAGTTGTCAGTTTTTGCTCCTGCAGAGCCACTGGGTGAGTTTGAACTGCCAACCTTTTGGTTTGCAGCCCTAGAGAAGGAGCAATCGCTGGTGTCCAAAAATAGAGATATGCTCAGAGTCCTATCGGATCAAAGGAGGGAGCATATAATCTAGCACGGGAGTGTTCCTAGAGATGGAGATGTTTGTTGAGCAAGAAAACTTAGGTGTTTTTAGCTGTAACACCGTGATGAACATATTTGTACATAAATCTGTGCACATCTCTAACTATCTCCTTAGGATATATTCTCATAAGAGGAATTTTTGGATCAAAAGGAATGAACAATGTTAAGGTGGTTGGTGCGTATTGCAAGACTGTTTTCCAGA